CAGTGTTTAAAAAGGGGGGGGGGGGCGTTCTCTGCAAAAATGCTAATGAGAAATAGAGCCTAAAATATATATTTCTTTAATAAGCTTTAAATGTCCCCCCCAAGGGAAAAAAATCCAAGTGAATTATATTTGTCTTTATTCCAACTCAATCAAAAATATATTTTTCTATTTATCTATTTTAATGGAGGGAGGCGCCTATGAAAATAAAGTGTTTCAGGCCAAGGAAAATCATCATGCACTGCTGAGTGCAGAGATTCCAAGGTAGGTCTGGGCCAGCAGGGTCCTGGAGGATTTCAAATCACAGATAATTTCCAATCAGCACAGAAATACAGTATTTTAACAATGCTATGTGCATCCCAGTGCACAGAGACCCAGGGGTAGGGCAGGCCAATCCTGCTTTTGTTATAAATAACTCTAAAACAGAACAGCTTCTTTTCTTTACTATAAGACAGTGCATGCAGTGCTGAGGTCCATTTGGAATGCAGGCTAACTTTTAAAACATAATTATTGAAAACTTCCTCAGCTTTCTACTTATAAATTAACTAGATTATACAACAATTTCTGGTTTGGAAATACCCATACACCTAGAAAGACAATTCAAAAGGCAATTCCAATAAAAAAGACAAAAAGATGCTTTATACTTGTGACTGAATAATTGATAGCTGCATGGCTGGAAAGAGCCACCAACTTTCTGATGCTTTCTGAACTTCAGGTGCTGCTGAAGTTCACTGGGGGCTGGTCATCTGATTCACAGTCTTTGGCCCTGCCCTCTGTCCTGCCCTCTTGTATATTAATTTCCAACATCCATACTTTAGATCTAGCCAACATCCTGGTTTATCATGCCTTCACTTTTTCAAATTAATGAATTTGATACATGTTAGAAACTCACTCTCATGGCCACACCTTATCCTCTGTCATTTTCCAGAACTGTCCTACCTCTGAAATAGAGTAAATTCTAATACACCTCTCTTCAATCATGACCTCTTCTAGCTCTCTCACTCTTGTAGCTGCTCTCATATTGTAGTTGTTGTTTTTTTTTTAATCTATATTTTTGTGTCTTTGACCTTTTAACTTCCTGAGCTTGCCAGTCCCTGAAGCCAAACTAATTCTTTTCCTTGCTCATCTCACTAGAGCCAGTAAACTCTCTACTATAATCTTCAGCTTGCTGCCTTGTCCTAAGGACTTGCACATCAATCCATCAGCCTCGGACCCATTCTCTAATATACCTTCTCTGCAACTTAATCTCTGTCCTGGCTCTTTAGGATATGGAGAAGCTTTTAAGAGAAGATATCTGTAAGCAAAATTGAGATGCGCTAATGACCTCCAGCTTAAGAAATGGAGTTCAGAAGATAGAGCTCACAATTTTTTTTCCATTCCTCTCCTTGGAAATGACTTATTAGCTTTCTTTGTCTTTATCTATCTTTCCTTGTCTTTATTTAGAGCTATGAGATGATAACTTGCAGTCCCTTTACCTCCAATAATTCTGTCCCACTTTATATAAAAGTGAATTAAGAAAATGTAACAGAACATAATATGAAAACTGAAGGATAGGTTCATGCATGTTTGAAATAATAAGCATCCAAATGCTTTCATATTTCTTCCAGAATTACATAATGGCAAACATAGTAGGATGAATGAGTGGTGAAACTAACTTCTGCTAAGGCTACATGCCATGACTCTAGGAAGTCAACAAATACGCTCTTTTTCAATATTTTGTGAGTCATACATTTTCATGCATGGTAACTTCATTGTCAGAGTTCCATCACTACACTGCTGGGTTTTAACCATCTACTATTATTATAATTTAAAATATTTTTTGTATCCTGTAACAATATAATGCAAGCACTCATTAAATGTGGATATTAGAAGCAGTGCTAAAAGTATGCCTTGAAATCATTTACTCTGGCACAGAAGTTAGAAGTGAACAAACAGAAGTCTGCAATAAATCTAAACAACTGCTATAGCATGCTGTGCTACTGATGTGGGAACAAGCAAAGCAAGAAATATCAGAAACAATGCTGAAAATAATAAAAACAGGAACATAAAATATAATGGGTAAAAATTGTTGTGCCCTGAAAATAAAGCTCACATTCTTTAAAATTATTATATTTAGTTCTTTGAATGTTGTGAGTTTCTTTTTCTTTTTAATTTTTTAGTTGTAGATAGACAGCATGCCTTTATTTTATTTGTTTATTTTTATGTGGTTCTAAGGATCAAACTCAGTGCCTCACACACGATATGCAAGCGCTCTGCCTCTGGGCTACGGCCTCAGCCCCTTTTGTGTTTAGTTAGGTGTCATGCAACTTCCTTTTACTCAAGGATTGAGATAAGGCTATTATAAATAAGGAAATAGGTCTGAAGTGTATATTTAAATAATATACTTCCCTTATGATTTTCTAATTATTAATGATAATGCTTATTGTATGGGAAAATTCTAAAAAGGATTAAGATGAAGAAAATCACCTAGAATCTCAACATTCAATGGCCAAATTTACTAGTATTTCAACATTTTTTTCAGTTTTTAAATTTCCTCTCTATTTTAACCATTTAGGGTAAACTTAATACATAATTTCACATCTCAATTTTTTTAACCTTCAATGAAGATTTATTAAGACACTAAGAACTATCTGTGGACATTATAAAGACTGTACAATATCTCATCATATGATTATAGTCAACACCATTCCTAATAGAAATATTTAGATATTCCCAAGTTTTGCCATATAAATAATTAAGTAATTAGCATATTTTGATATAAATTTTGTTTCTCATTTGATTAATTGTTCATTGGGAGATTTTCTAGAAGGAAATTTATTAGGTCAAATGGAATCTTAATGCATATTGCCAAATCCCTTTCCAGGAAGATTGAAACAATTTAGTTTTCCTAGCAACAGATAAAGTACACATCTCACTCCATTCTTTACCTCACTGAGGATTATTATTTTTAAAAATATTACCAATATTTTAGTAGAAAAATCTTATTATTGGAACTCGTGTATTTTATTATTTGTAAATTGGTTTATTACCTATATTTATTAGTTAATTATATTTCATACTTTTGTAAGTTACCTTTATATGTCCTTTGATTGTTTCTCTGGAGTTTTTAACATTTTCCTTGCCATAAGTATGAGTTCTGTATGTATTGAGTTTATCAATATATTAAACTATTGTATTTGCTGTTTTTATGGTTTGAATGCTATTTTAAAATAAGAATATAATATATACTAAAGGTAATATTATAAGTCTTTTACTTCCTTAAAATTATTATATATATTTTATTCTCATCTATTTGTTTTTTCAAGTAATTCTTAGAATCCTAAATTCTGATGGAAAACAAACCATTGGAGTTATATTAAATTTATAAATTTAATTTATTATTAATTTTTCAGTTCCTTTAAATGCTAGCTATTTTTTTTCATTCAAGATTTCTGTCTCAGTTATTTTTTGATTTTTAAAAAACAAACAAACGAACTTAGTAGCTTCTGCCCTTGTATTCTCTCGGGGGTTTCACCGTCAGGGTCAGCTGGAATCAGAGTCCAGTCTCATACAAGCTGGAGGTCCAAGATGACTTGCTCACTTCTAAGACAAGCTCCTGGGTGTTCTTCCCTATGGCCTCTCTTTCTAACAGAGTAGCCTAGATTTGTTACATGGTAATTCATTTCAAGAGGCAGAAGCAGTGTTCTTAAGGTAAGGTTTACAAGGTCACTTCTGCAATGCCGTACTAATCAAATCAGTCACCTGACAGTCCAGATTCAAGAGACAGAGGGACAATCAATCACCTCTTGATGGAGAAGTAGCCTCTGACTTCTTTGGAGATGAAACATCACATCTTATTTTACTCACCTTGGTAAATATTTTTTCATAAAAGTATTTTTAAATTTGTGTTACTGTAATAATTTGTATGTTTTTTTTCCTTTATAATTTACTAGCTGGTTACTGATATGAAGGAAAACTATTTTATTCATTCTAATTATGCCTTAGTTTTAATATCTTGGTTCTCCTAAGTAGATAATCACAGAATCTGAACATAACAATGTCTTATTTTTCTTTTTATCAATATTTAAATCTTTTTTCTATCTCATGTTTATTGGTTAAAACTTCTAAGCAAAGCTAATTTTGTTGCATATTTTCTTTTTTTTCTTTTTCTTGATACTAGGGATCAACCCAGGTCTCACACATGCTAAACAAATACCTTGCCACTGAGCTATACAACTGAGCCCTACTGTATAGTTCTTTTTTTTTTAATTTTTATTGTTGGTTGTTCAAAACATTACATAGTTCTTGATATATCATATTTCACACTTTGATTCAAGTGGGTTATGAACTCCCATTTTTACCCCGTATACAGATTGCAGAATCACATCAGTTACACATCCATTGATTTACATGTTGCCATACTAGTGTCTGTTGTATTCTGCTGCCTTTCCTATCCTCTACTATCCCCCCCCCCCCCCCCCTCCCCTCTTCTCTCTCTACCCCCTCTACTGTCATTCATTTCTCCCCTTTGCATTATTTTTCCCTTTCCCCTCACTTCCTCTTGTATATAATTTTGTATAACCCTGAGGGTCTCCTTCTACTGTATAGTTCTTAAAGTAAAAATATATTTAAGTTTGAACTGAACTTTTTAAAAATCAACATACACATTTCCCAGAGCTAAATTAAGCCACATATTCATGTGTCCATAAGATACAAATAAAAGGTAGGTTCTCATTCCAAATAAATTAAGTCTAAGATGGGAGCAATAAACTAGATGAGAAAGAAAGTGATTAATATGTTTTGGACACTGCAATATTTTCCACCCTAAAATCTATAAGCTTCCAAAAATAAATTATAACCATAAAATATTCTATTGACTTTCACAAACAGCTAATATATCTAAATAAATATAAAACATCATAAATCTCAGCAACTTCTTCTTTCTTCACGAGATCAACTATTTATACTAGATGCAATCTGTCATTTTAAGTACATAAATTTTAGATTGTGGTTCTTGTACTCACACGTGGTGGATAATCATGTGGTGGAACATAATCTTCAGCGTATGTTGTCATTGTATACCTAAAAGGGATAAGTCAACATCTGATAAAAGGATTCCAAAAAAGAATAAATTTTAAAATGTTAGTGTTATAAACTTTGCATGAAATAATAACATCAGGATAGACTGGTCCCAACAAAATATTTAAACCCCACAACTGCCCCAGGCTCTTTTTTAGCATCACCCACCACCACCAGGTATCCCTCCTTCAATTACTTCAATATAGCACCACCTACTACTCTTCTATGTGAATAAAATTTGTGGCTACCAACTCCCAAGTCCCTGAACTCGGATGTTCTGCATTCCAGGAATTCTCTTTACTACTCTCTACCTGATTCTGAAACCTTTTTGGCCCTTTTCTCCACATTCTCTTTAGGATGACAGCTGAAGAGATAATAGAAGACAGCTAGGTAAACTGAGAACTCTGAGTATACCCAGCCCCTACCCGCTTAAACACACAGAAATGCTGGATGGAACACTTCCACACACACACACACACACACACAAGGACAAGCCTAGCCAAGCTCAAAAGGGAAACATGGAGATGTGAGAAATGAAAAGGACACTCACTACAAGGGGAAATCAAAAAAGCTGTTGGCCCAGCCCTGGAGGGGGAGTTTTAACTTCAGGTCAAGAGAAACAGCCTTAGCTTCACATGAGACAAAGAGCTAAACTCCAGTTTGCAGCTAGAATCTGTAAAGTCTGCACTTCTACATAAAAGAGACCAGAGAAACCACAGGTCCCAGCCCAGAGACACTTGAAAGAAAGTCTCCTCCTGGAGCTTAGGATAAGGGGAAATTATTCTCCTGTAAGCAATTACAACCCTACTTCTATTCCTGGCAATATTACAGGACTAGATGGTCAAGGAAACCACCTAATTTCTTTGGAAAGTAAGACATTTTAACAAGAATTCTAAAATAACAAAGTCCAACTCAAATGGGTTATCAGCTACAGTTGTTAGTATTTAATCTGGTGATGACCACCAACTCCTACCTCCAGGTGTTGTCCCCAACAGTAGCACCAGGGAACATGACAAAAATGCAAATATAGTCATCCCTGGGTATTGCAGGAGAACCGGTTCCAGGACCCCAGTGGATAACAAAATCTGTGAATGCTCACATCCTTTATTTAAAATGATGTAGTATTTACACATAATCTGTGCACATCCTCCTATGAGCTGAAATTCATCTCTAGGTTACTTATAATACCTAATACAATATAAATGATGCATAAATAATTCTTATACTTCATTATTTAGGGAATACTGAAGGGAGAAAAGTCTGTACATGTTCAGTATAGACACACTTTTAAAAAAATATATTCAGTCTGGCTGGTTGAACATGCAGATGGGAAACTGTGGATCTGGAGGGCCAAATGCACTTGGGTCCTACCCCAAGCCCATTGAATTAGAAACTCCATGGGTGGAGCCCAGCAAGCGTAGTGTAACAGTCCTGCCAGGTGACTCCGGTTGCACACCAGAGTTTTGAGCACTGATTGTCAAAAGAAAAAATGGATGTGTAACTTTCAAACTGGTAAATGACATTTTAAAAAGAAAAATCAATCTTTAATAAAGTAAGGAAAAGAAAATAAAAGGAATTTGGAAAAAAATTATTTCCACCCATAGGACAAATTAAAATCATAAAATGTCTTAGCAGCCACAATGAAAGTAAAATGGTTAAACTCATTAGTGAAGACATTTTCTCAGACTTAAATTGAACATCAAATTATTTTTGAATGTCCAAATATGTGCTTTAATACTCAACATTAAATTATTTTCAAAGAAAGCTTGAAAGTAAAAGTCTATAAATATATATAAACACTTTTCTAAAAGAAATTATATTCTTACACTAACAGCAAATATAATACTTAGAGTCAAAAGTTACTAGTTAAAGAGATCTTACCAACTGATTAAAGGGACAAGTCACCAAGATTATATATAATAGTCCTAAGTCAATAAACCAATGATGAATATAATAAATAAGGCATAAAGAAGACAGAATCACAAAGATGAAATGAAAGATGTACAGTCATAGAGGAAGATTTTAACACATTTCTTCGCCCTTTGGTTGCTTAAATCCAAATCTGTACATATACCCTCCTCCAAAGCTTTACACGTCAACAACAAAGAAAATTAAATCATACACATACCTATAATTGAAGCATAATAGAGGATAGAAAATACTATTATTAAATAAAATGTATAAGAAATTATTGGTTTGAACTGAGCTCTGGCAATAGGCCCAACAGAACAAACCAAAATGAAATCTCATGCTGAGTGTCCATGCCACCAAGCCAAAACCAAGTTGTTTATTTAGACTTGCCAAGAAATAAGGACACAGAGAGAGAGAGAGTTGGTAGCCATATCTCTCCCAGCAAACCAGTTTTAGATAGTATAACAAGGGAGGTCCCTCTGTTTTATCCTTTACAAGGAAAACAACTTTGAAACAACCAACCCACTTTTTGTTCTTTGTTTCTTCCGCCTTCTGTCTCTAAAACCAACCTCTGTTCAGCTCATTTTATTTTATAGGATGAAGTGCTATCTGACTCTAGAATTGCAAGTAAAAGCCAACTAAGATCTTCAAATTTGTTATTATTTTTTTCTTTTGACATTACAAGTTTCAATTTACATGTAGGCAGGCGGAACAATCCACAATCAATGTGCAGAGTCAGATCAAAGCCCACGCTGGGACACAGTCAGGCAGGATTACATGGAAGAGAGCAGAGGGTAGTAGGTCCCTTGTGAGGCAGGGGTAGGACATAGATGACATCATCTCCAGAAAGAGAGCATCTTTCCCTGATGTGGGGAGATACTGAGAACAGTCTCAAATTAGAGGATCTGGACCATGATTTGCCAAGTACAAAGGACCAGAACTGCAGTCAAGGGAAGGTATTGCTTCTGGGGAAAATGGGGGCAATTGGGAAGGTGGGAAAAAAAATCAAACACCAGAAATTAAAGATCATAGAACTATAAGATGATACCACATTATCAATACCCCTCCTTCCTCCCTCCACCATCTACCCTCCATCCAGTTAAGTGTCACCAATTAAATTAACTTTACTTCAATATCCTAACAGAAGAGGGCACTCTTAAACTAAAATACTGAGCAAACTGCCCAAACTTATTTCCCCTTGGTAGAATTACCTATGGTTGTTGCTAGTCCAGGAAAATCCAACATATTTAAATAAACAGAAAATCCAAACCAAAAATCAAGGTGTTACATGGTACTTGTTAAACAAATCTTAACTTTTTGGAGTCATAAAAATGCCAAGGACAGAGGAGATGACTTTGAAAAGGAAGATGAGGGTTAAGTTCCCACTATCAGATATCAAGACATAGCATAAAGATGTAGTAATTAATACAGTGTTGTATCAGTGCAAGAATATACAAATAGACCAACAGAGTAGAATATAGAGCTCTAGAGCTCAGAAATAGACCTGTTTAATATGAGAACTTGGCATATGATAGAATGACTTTGTTAATTAGCAAGGGAAGGGTGGATCAAATGGTACTGGACTAACTGGTTAGTCTTACAAAAATGTTACATATGAATTCATATATTATGCATGTTACATATGTATATATGCATACACATGTATATATGCATACACGTGTATATATGCATGCACACATGTGTGTATACATACATGTATATGCATATATATGTATATACATGTGTGCAGCATATATACACATGTGCATGCATATACATGTGTATATGCATATACATGTATATGTATGTGTGTGTAATTTTTAAAAAGCTTATAGTTTGATATTTAATATTGAAGTATTGACTAATACTTCAAAACTTGTGTTGATCAAAAGACATCAAAAATAAAATTACAAGGAAAGTCATAGACTGGAGGAAGAAATTCATTATAAATTTAAACAAAACAGGATCAGTACCTGTATTTATTAGAATAAATTTTAAAACACTTTCACAAATCAACAAGACAAAAATCTCAGTTGAGAATGCACAATTCACAATGTAAAAAACCAGCATGGCTAATTACTATTTGGAAATAAATTCAGTCTTAAAATTCTGTTGTAAATCAAATAATTAGTGAAATGCAAAGTACAGCAAAATAAAGTACCATTTCACATCCATTAGATATTACTCAGCATTAAAAGAGAATAAAATTATGGCATTTCCAGGTAAATGGATGGAGTTGAGAATATCACGCTAAGCAAAGTAAGTCAATCCTGAAAAACCAGACATTGAATGTTCTCTCTGACAAGTGGATGCTGATTGATAATGGGAGGATGAATGGGAAAAAATGAGGAACTCTGAGGGCAAAAAGGAGGAAGCAAATAGAGCCAACAGGAAGAGAATCCTGGAGGTATTTTACTCCTGATTGCAGTCAACCCTGGAGCCAGGCTTCACCTTAGATTTCACCATAGTTCCATGAGGCATTCCAGTACTTTAATAAACCCCTCTTTTGCCCATGATGATGTGTTTCTGTCACCTACAACTGAAAGAGTCCTATTACAATCAGAGTCTAAGGTCATTAATCACTATAATCATATAACCAACTCCCCTGGCTCAGATTCCAAACACTGAACCACATTCTGATTATAATCTGGCTTCCCATATGGTTTTTTACATAGAGAGAATGCTTTTATTAGGCTGACATGACTGTCTAGTGTGCTTGAAAATTTTATTTCTCATTATAAATTAACTAATTAGAATTCTGGCTTTTCTTATGAGTTTAATGAGCACAAGTCAGTCTCCATGAGTCAGATAAATTCTGAAACACAGATAAAATGATCTTTCTGGAAATGCAAAACCGAAGACCAGATGCTGATAAATTCACAGGATAATGCCACACTGTAAGGATGCTTGGACGTTAGACAGCTGGCTTTCACCCAGCACCTCCCACCATTTGTCACATATGCCCTCTTCGACCTTTAACAGGTGCAGCTAGGAGACAACTTTCAAGATAAAGAACAACTAAAGGTGTTTTGTAAGATGAGAAAGAGAAAGAAGTCTGATATTCAAGTTATCATTAGAGCCATGGTGTTAAA